TCCCTCTCGTTGTCTTTCTCATCGCTGGCAAGTGCATGTACCCTATGGCAAAAACCTTAAAACAAAACAAAAACCATGCTTAAAAGTATATAGAGTTTATGGGCTAGCATGTGGTGTGGTGGTTAAGAGCACTGGACTTCTACATGGCCATTCACGGTCCAAGTCCCGGACCTAGAGGTTTGCTTTTTCATTTTCCCTCTCTCTCTTGCTCTCGCTCTGTCCAGAGACATAGCCATTACGTTAACTGCTGGTCCCTCAATAGGCCATTTTAAAATAGCCATTAAAAAATATTCAAGTACAACATTTGTATTTGCAGATTAGCTCAGTTCCTTTTTCTTCTGTGAGGCATATCTATCAACTGAATCAGTAGTCATTTTTAACAACCAATTTGTAATAAAAATTGCAGCAATTACTTGAATAATTAAAGCAAAAGTACAGCATTTGTAATAATTACCAAAGCAATTGTACTTGTCTAGATCTGCCTTTTGTGAGCTTTAAATCTTTATTTTCTCCATTTTTTTTTAATAGCATAACATTTCTGAATCATGGTTTTAATTCTGCAGTAGGGACAAAGAGAGACCTTGACTTAAATATTTTCTTTAAAAACTCAAAATCCCCAAACCAAGACTAAATCCCCAGGATTCTAGTTTACTGCTACCATTAAATACTTTCACTGTAATGCTAGAAAAGACAAGTCTGTGTTAATTCTATTGTTCCTGGTAGAGCAATCATACTACTTTTTTGAAGATAAAGACCATATCTCACCCATCTTTGCATCTCCAGCCCAGCCTAGTTTATGTCACATAAAAGATGCTGAAAATATATTTACTGAATGAATAAACTCAGTCCTCCCAAAATAATCATAATCATAAAGAATATTGCTATATAACGTTGGCATTTTAAGGATGTACTTGATTTCTACCACCATTCTCTAAGAACAGCTGTGGAATAATTAAGTTATGACAATTATGTATACCAATCTATTTGTCAAGATTCCTATCAAATAGGAACAGTTTTATAATTAGCGTGACAATTGCTGATAGAAAGACATACCTTTTTAAAAATTGTTGGGCAACTGTTCTTGTGATGGGTTTGGCCATTTTTCCTGGGAACTAATTTATATTGTTATATTTGCTTTCAAGAGTCCTTAAAAAAATAAAAACATAAAAAGCAACTACAGAGATTGAATATTCAGAAAGCCTGAATTTGTAAAAATCTAGCAAATAATGAGCCTTTCCTAAATATCAGTTTAAAGGGAGAAATAGAGTCTAGGAAAACATGCAAGAATGCCAACTATATATGTTGTAGTAAGCCTTATTAAAAGTATTGGGACTTTTCAGAGCCTCAGTGGACATAATTTAATCTAAGTACAAGTATATAATACAAAGCCAAAATATAAATGTTTTCTCAATACCTACCTTTGGGGCCATTCTCCATCCTGGGGGTATGGAACAGATCCTAGGGATGACAGTATGTAGGATCATTAACTGCAGCTCACTTGTGCTAATGGAGAGCTGTTGCATAGATAACACAAGGTAGTTATTTAGTTCTTTTTGTTGTTGTTAGTGTATAAACACATCTTTATTAATCAGAATACGCTGTAGATGCTTTTCCCAGTATATCCGGCAGTCTTTGTCATTGTTCATGCTGGGAATGGGATCTAGGCTAGCAGTTCTTTTTTTCTTTTTCTTTTTTGGCACCATTGCAAGTACCAATCACTAAATAAGAGTAATCAAATATGAATCTAGCTAATGGTTTATCCTGGCCTTTGTTCTGTCTCAGACGGTTATATGAGGACATGTTTTGTAGGACTGCAAAACTGTCTTTCATGTTGTCAACATTAAAAAAAGATATACTCCTAAGCTTCTAGTGTTCATCAAAAACCCTTTAGAAGTTGTTAATGGATTTATCTAATTACATGGCAGGGTAGAATGAACTTTACACAGTGCCTGGTAGAATAGGTGCTTATATTTATTTAATGAATGTTGAATTACTTGGATTATGCTGTGACCAAGACAGCCAAACTCTCCCAATCCACTTTCCCCATCTGTGAAGTGAGAATTTGGACAAATGATCTCCAAGATGACTTTTTGCTTTTAAAAAAGTTTTTGCCACAGGGTGCCATAGGTGTGTCTCTCACCAGACAGAGAGCAAGAGGAAAAGTAAGTAATTAGCCCCCAGAGGGGATGGCCACACTGCAGTTCCTTCTCCATTCTTTCAGATTCTGAGCACGCACACACACGCACCCAGTGTAATTTTCAAGTCACAGGGTCCGTAACTCAAACTGTGGAGTTGGCTACGTAGGATCCAGTGCCTTAAAACTCCACACCACCAGCTGGCCCCTGATGTCTTCTTGCTTTTCAATCTAGTTTCAAAACTGTCTTATCATGTCTGGGTGAGGCATTCTATATTCTTTACATGGCATGGACATATTATAATATAAAGCTTTTGCCTAATTTATTTAAGCTCCAAGAGTTGTTGCCTTACTTATTGGTGGAATTTGGTAAGCAAGTCCAAGTTCACCCTGTCCATCCATACTCACCATAATTTTATGGCTTGGGGTATTACTCCCTTTCACTCTTGGTGTCTAATCTGAAAGGTCTGTCTAGTTACCTACCCTTCTCTTGGTCACATTTGCTAGTCTTCTCTGGGCTTTCTTCCATTCCGCTTTTCACCTGAAGTACAATAAGCAAACTTTTCTCACATAGATAAGACAAATATTATGTTGTTTCTTATAATGGTTGATAAGACTTTCTCCTAATTTCCAAAACTCCTAATAAATATTTTATAGATAGCTTGATGCTGACCGCACATTGGACTAGAAGTTTCAGAGATCTCTTTCTAAACTTAAATGAAACCTGGAAGACCATAATATTCATAGTTCTATTTAGCCCCTATATATAATCTGAGTTTCCACAGCTGTGACATCTATTGTTTCTGAACTAAAAAAATAATTTGGGGCCCAGCTGTAGTAGTGTGCACAGAGTGAGCGAGAAAGAGGGAAAGTGAAAAAGCACCCCCCTTGGGGGAATGGCAAATGCCACAATCCTTCCTTCATTCTTCTTTGTATTTGGGGCAGGCACGCCCTGAAATGTCTTTCAAGCTAGCAGGTCTGGGCCACGAACCTCATGAGCAGTTTCCCAGGTAGGACCCATCTGCCCTAACCACTGTGCCACTGGCTGGCCCCAACTAGTTATAGAATCTTATCAAGTCAGTGAGATTACCCTTTTTTAAAAAGAGAATCTGGGGCTCAGAGAGAGGGAGAGACTCACCTGAGGAGATAAGGGACTTAGGCAGCAAAACTACAAATCTTTTTTTTTTTCCTAGCACAACATACGCTTTTTGTTGATAACAGGAATGAAACATGCACATCCTTGGCGTGTTCACTTGGCAAGAGGATATACCTAAAGATGTGTACAGTCAGGTCAACAGGGTCTTGACCAAAGGACAGTGATTTTTTTTAAGGGGTCAGGCACATTTTTCCTTTATTATTTACCCTTCACAACCAGAGCAGTATGTATTATCTTTAATTATGCAAGGGAGCAAACCAGGGTCCCAAGGGGTTTATGGCTTGACTAAGCTTGCAGAGTTAAACACTGGTGGGGCTTCCTAGTGGTCCTTCTTTCTTGTAGGTTTTGGTACCAAGGATAAAGAGAAAGGTAAGCCCACACTCTTTTTTTATGGCCTTGGAGTTAACTGCATTGAAAGAAGGTGAGGGGCCAGCAGGCGGTGTGGTAGTTAAGCGGACTCCCATAAGGCTGACAGTTGTTTGAGTCCCAGACCTGGCAGCTTGAAAATCTTATATTGGGCATCTGTACAAACATGCCTGAAATCCTATGAGTAGGACAGAGAAGAGATTGTGGCATGGCCATCCCCCAGTTGTGATTTCTCACTTTCCCTCTTGCTGACTCTCTCTGGCAAGTAAGTGCACGTGTCCTATGGCAAAAACCTAAAAAAAGGGAGGGGTTATACTTGCATACAACTAACCCTCCCCTCCTGTCATCCCCAAACATGGCCACACCCTCCCTCAGCAGACCGTGAGTACTGCAGGTTTGAACAGAGATTTAACACTGGGCCCTCAAAGCAAAATGTGTAAGAATATATAAATGTTCGTTGAAAGTTGCATGTTACACCAGGGTCTAAACTCTACCAGATCAGGCACTCTGTTAGTCCACATGATCCTGGCTTCGAGGAATTCTGTCTAAGGAAAACAGACCAAGGCACTTGTGATACGCTGTGTTAAATGACATAATGGAGGGAACCACAGCACCGAGGAAGCACCCCACTGGGAACCACTGACTTGGACTAGACCTGGGAGGAGTATGTGGAAGGGCCAAGGAAGGATTCACAAACGGACACAGGCCACAGTTATGGGCATGCTAAAGGACAGTGATGCTCACTGAACAGTGAGCAAAGACTCAGGGCCATGGAGAGGATTCACTTAGCTCTGAACTCCTGAAATAATCAAGGGTGACTTTACTGCATAATTAATAAAATAGGAAGAGTATATTTAATATAGTACTGAATATTCCTTAATTACTATTATTTTATTATTCTTTACAGAAAACACACATGTAAATAAGTGTCCTTAAAAGAATAATCTCATTTAAATTGAGGTGTGAAGAACCATACTATTCTAAACATCTGCCACTGTACACAACATCTCTGATCAACCATGTCTTACTCTGGTGTTAAAATAACATAACAGGATGGTCTTCAACAAAATACTCTGATAGTTGCCATGACGCCAACCTCCTTTTACAAAGCAAATCATAAGCAGTAACATTACACAACAAAATAAGCCTTTTAAGTTTTAAGAAAAGTGGTACATCATACAGTAGACAGATTGCTAAAAATGAATTGCTAATAATATAAACTTCTGTCGCTTTGTTATATAATATGTAAAAAAGGACACTGAGAACAAAATTACTAGACTGCAGATTTAAAATGGTTTATGAGGTCTAAAGTTCAGAATGACAAAAAAAAAAAAAAAAATCCCACCCAACTCTGCATCACTTTGAAAACAAATATTTTATGTAAGAAAGATTCCCTTTTAATTACCTACATACATACTGCCATATAATACTGTTAATTAAACCCATAGTTATACTTATTTAAATAAGAGTTAAATAAACTGCCCCAAATGCTGATTTTCATATCATAAAACATAAGTATTTTAAATCACAATCTCTGGGTGGTACACTGAATACACTGGTTTCTTAGACAACATTGACAAGCATATTACTTAAGAATATATTTTCATCTATAGGTCAGGTAAAGCTTTATTAAATAGTAAACACTTTGAACAGTACAGAAATACAGGTTTCAAAAACAAAAATATTCAGAAGATCTGCTGTTCAAATAATATTTTTTCAAAACCAGGTGGAGGAGTATGATAAAATTCACTGAACTGGCAATCCAAAATTGCACTGTCATCAACTAGAAGACAGAAAGAAAGAAAATAAATGAGAAGCAAATATCTTAATCTGCACAAAGTACAAAACAATAAAATAGACTGTTTCCATAATACCTTAATATAATAGGCAAGAATAAAAACACCTGTCTGTGTTACAAAATATGATCCTTTTGGGTAAAAATGTCACAATGAAAAACAAAATCTGTCTATCAAAAACATTAGGATGATATACACCCAAATATGTTAATAATTATCTGTAGATGATGTGAATATGGGTAAAAATTTTTCCTTATTTACCTATCTGTATTTTATACAGTTAAGGCATTTGTTTTTTGAAGAAAGAACATGGTAGGCATGTGTGTGTGCATGCCCAAAATCCTGAAAGGAAAATGGAGAAGAAGGGATTGCAGTGTGGGCATTTCCCCTAAGGAGTGCGTTCCCATTCTCCTTCTCTCTCTGTCTCTCCCTGGCAAGCACATGTGCCCTGTAGCAAACAAACAAACAAAAGTCTTATCTTACAAAGATTGCAAATTTAGAGGAAGTTACCCCCCAAAAATACTACAGAGTCTTGTGTACCCTTTGTCCAGCTTTTCCCAGTGGTTACTTATGTGATTATAGCACAATATCCAAACCAGGAAACTGACATTGGCATACTGGACTGTGAACTGGACTTCTGGCCTTATTCAGTTCCCCTCCCCCCCTTTTTAAAAATAGAATTTACTCAAGAGAAATTAAGGTATTTCCATACAAAGACTTACATAGAAATGCTTATAGCCAAACTCTGGGGAAAAAATAAACCTTAATACTCATCAACTGGGGAAGGAATAAACAAATTGTAACACATCTACACAATGCACTATCTACTTGGCAATGATAATGAATGAATTATAGAAACGGACCACAACATGAGTGAATCTTAAAATAATTATGCTAAGTGAAAAAAGCTAGATTAAGAATAAAAAAAGAGTACAGGGGACAGCTTTGTGGCATAGCAGTAATATACGGCTCAAGAAAAACTAGATCCCACATGGTGAACACAGTGAGTCCCCAAACTGGTCAGCCTTAAACATACCAGGCATGCATGCAAGTGCCCAAGACCCAGTGGGCTGGAGGACTGGAGGAAGGGAATTGTGATAAGACCAGACTCTGTAAAAGGTGCTTCTCTCTCTCCTGCATACACACATGCTCTTTATCATATAAAGGGAAAAATGAAAAATAAGGAACAACAAACTGTACGATTCTGTTCATATAAATATTTCAGAAAATGTAAGCTAAGCGTTAGCAACAGAAAGAAGATCAGTGGTTGTTTGGCTGGGATGGGGTGGAAGGTGAGTAAAAAGGATACAAGGGGCAAAAAGGAAACTTTTGGGTGACAAATATGTTCATTAACTTTACCACGGTAATGACAAAACAAAATGTTACCACAAAGCAAAGCAAGCAAAGAATTAGCACTAATGTCGAATAGTATGATCATCCCCTGGGGTAGGATTACAGCTGTGGTGGGGGCTCCAGGCTGGGTCCTGAAAATGTTTATTTCATGACCTAAGTGTTAACGACATGGGTGTTCACTTTACAGCTACTTGTTAAACTGCACATATATGTTTATAGTGCATCTGATTATATATTTTATACTTATAGTAAACGCAGGAAAAATAGTACTAAACTTGACAATGATGAAGTCACCAGTGATTTTTAACAAAGGTGGTTTCAATCAGATTCTGGTTACAGCAGCCAGACTGGATTGCAGAACAAATGAAGTGAAACAATACAGGTAGTGGGTGTAGACCATTCTAGAAGAAATGTGGCCATGTGGCCATACAGAGAAGGGTAACACAGGACTAGTGAGTGATACAAGTTCAAGGGAGAGCTTTTAGGATAAGGAAGACTCAGAATGTTTAATAAACACTGAAAAGAGAGGTTGATGACATGAGAAACAGGTGAAATAAAGCTTTAGAAAATGAAGTTTCAGAGTTTGGAGCCCGCAATAGAGAGTTTTTGGAATGCTTAGAGCACCACTTCCTCTGAAATGGGATGGAAAAATGCAAGACTGGAGGGGAGGGGACAGAGATGGATCACTGGTGATATTCCATCTCTTTATAAAACAGAAGGCAAGGGCATTTGTGGAAAATAAGTAGGAAATTCACCCACACGGTAAAGATCTGGTATGCACAGAGATGTATAAGAATTCCCCAAAACTACTGAGAGATTAGTTAGGTTTTTAAATAATATTTTTTAATGTTTTTGTCATAGGGTGCATGTACTTGCTGGAGAGAGAGACAAAGAGATAGAGAGAGGCAAGCGATAAACCCTCCCATCCCCCTCCCCCAAGGAGGGATGGCCACGCCATATTCTCTTCTCTTCCCATCTTCCTCTTGGGATTTTTGGGCACACACACACACACACACAGGTGCGTGGCATGATTTTCTAGCCACTAGGTCTGGGGCTTTAACCACCATGTGGGAGTCCAGTGCCTTAATCACCATGCTACCTGCTGGCCCCAATTAGGTGTGAAACAAAAACTATTCTTAATTATGCAAAGTGGGATTGTTATATCTTATTGAATACATTCCATACATAAAAATTCTTATTAACAACTTGTCCATGCTTGTGATTTATGATTATATTAATAAAATTAATATAAATGCCAAATGAGAGTTAATTTATGTCTAGTAGTATGTAAGAAATATTTTAGCTTACCATAAACAACTGGATACACTGTCCCTCGTATACCTGATGCTGGACAATGCATGTTTTTTCCATTCAAATATACATTTAATTCTACATGGTCATATGTAATACCCTATGAAAGAAAAAAATTAAAAAGATAAAAACACAAATATTCCATAAAAACCTTAAAAGTCAGAAAACACTGATTGGAAACAAAAATACTAAGGATAGGGTCACAATAGTTTTCACTAAGGATTTACAATTTGGTAGAATTATTTTAAATTTTTCTTTTTTAAATTTTAATTTAAATTTTCAGATTAATTTCAATTACAAAAAGTCCCCATCATTGGAAACACATAAAACAGCTGGGAGTTTGGGGGCCAACCAATGATAGTGGTTAAGGCAGCTGGATCTCACATAGCTGACTGAATGGTTCAAGTCCTGGACTTGATGGCTTTAAAAACACTCATGGTGGGAAAATTCATTTTCAGTGTAAAGATATACAGTGATTGAAGGTAAAAAAATAAGAAAAAAATAAAATAAAATACTGGGTCATCGGGAAAAAAAAATCCCCATCATGATGTACACAATGTATATTTTTTTTCAACAGAGAACTTTATTTTTGTCTGTTTCTTCCCTTTATACTTCAAACCCATCCTCTACCACCCACTCTCAAGCATCCACTCCCCTCCCTTACAGTCTCTGGTATCTATACTTATCCTCTCTACTACAGTATCTTCAGGTCATTCAGTATTTGGTACATACTGAGTTGATACATATAACAGTGTATCTTTCAAGATCTGGCTCCTTTTGTTCAACATGGTCTTCTATGTTCATCCACTTTGAATCAAACAATAGGGTCTCATTATTTCTTATAACTTAGTAATATTCCATAGTATATATGTACCACAGGTTTTCAATCCAGTCATCAGTTTTTGGACACTCAAGTTCATTCCATGTCTTAGCTATTGTGAATAATGCTGCAATAAACATGATGTGCAAGTGTCTTTCCAAATGAGTGTTTTCCTATCCTTCAGTAATACCAAAGAGTGGGATTATTGGGTAATTGCGTCAGCTAGTGGTGTGGTGGTTAAGGCAGCTGGATCTCACATAGCTGAGTGCATGGATCAAGTCCTGGACTCTGTGGCTGGAAAAACACACCAGGCATGTATGTGTACGTGCCCTTCATTATTTGCTGGTTTTATTTGTAGATTTTTTTTGGAATCTCAATATTGTTTTCCAGAGGCTGTACCAATTTACATTCACACCAACAGCGAGAGGGTTTCCTTTTCACCACAGCCTCACTGGCACTTGCTGTTCTTTATTTTTTTGATTCTAGCCATTCTATAATAACAGGGATTAAATGATATTGCAATGTGGTTTTAATTTGCATTTCTCTTATGACAAGAAACTTTGAACATTTTTTTTCATATGCCTTTTAATCTCATGGTAGAATTCTACTTGAACTGAACTAAAAAAAAAAAAATAGTAACGACTATGTGAGGGAAAAAAGTCAGGTAAAATCCCAAGAGCTGTACTTTGCATACCATGAACAGAAAGACCTTTAAACTCATACAAAAAACACTGCTAGCTCTTTATAAGATTTATTCTTAAGAAGGAAAAACAATGACATTTTTACCATTAGGATTTATTATATCTGTCACTGTTTTCAAATTGTGAAGGAATGTCTTTGGACACTTATTTCCAGGAAGAAATCACCCATTTCTACATTTCTTCACATTGTTTTAAAATATATCAAGTATATTACCAAAGTAAAGCTAGTGTTTACAACTGAATATAATTGGTAATTAATATCCAGTTAAAATAGAAAAACAGTTTACAGGATTTTAAAAAAGGACTATAAAATATGCTTTGCACATCATTGATGATTAAAAAAATCACAATAATTATTATTATTGAAATGCTAGAAAACAGTTTATACCATGTACTAAGCACAAAATTCAAGGTATTTTGTATTTACTCATTTAAAAAAAAAATATATATATATATTTGCCATAGGGCATATGTGCCCACTGGAGAGAAACAGAGAAAAGGGGAAAGTGAGAAATCACTCCCTAGGAGGGTAACTATGCCACAGTCCCTTCTCAATTTTCCTCTCAGGATCTTGGGCATGTAAACACATGTGCCCAGTGCGATTTTCAAGCCACTGGGTCCAGGACTTGAACCATGCACTCAGCCATGTGAGATCCAATTGCTTTCACCACCACACCACTAGCTGGCCCAATATTTACTCATTTGTTTTCCCAAGCCAAACTGTATCCAGCTTTATTAAAGATACTTTTCATAAACAATCGTAGTATTTCAGGCAGGACATGGGCAGACAACCATTAACAGTACATAACATTCTTTGAATTCCCTTCTTCAATGGACTACCAAAATCAGAAAGCCACTACAAAATCCAACGAAGTCTTCATTTGATGCTCTAAACAGGGAAAGTTTAGAGTGAGGGTTGACATTTCACATTTAGCATGTTGTTTAACAACTTTTCACAAGCCAACTGTGACTTTAGGGAAACAAAAATGGCAGAATTATTAACGTGAAGATCCAACAATATAGAAAAGGAACTGCTTGCTCCTTTGAAGGATGCCATCTGAATGTCATTGGAAAGTCCAGATTGCCTGATATATTGGTAACCAAATTTTTTTTTTTGGAGAGATTTTCACTGTAGGGCGCGTGCGCTCGCCAGACAGACAGAGAGAGACATAGAGACAGAAAGCAAGAAATCACCCCCCAGGGGGGATGGTCACGCCGCAATCCCTTCTCCTCCATTCTCCTCTC